ACACCAATGGCAAAAAAGGGGTTTGAGTATTAAATTTGGATTGGGTACTCATTTACTACAAAAAAGTACCCTTGATAACACTCGATTTACTCTCATGGTTTTGACAAAGTTTGTATTTTAATAATTATTGTTTATGTTCTAAAATTACTAAAATGCAAATTTCGTCAAAACCATGAGAGTAATCGAGTCTTATCAGGAGTACCCTTTTTAAAGTAAATGAGTTGCGCAATCTAAATTTTATACTCAAACTCCTTTTCTTCTATTGGCGTAGAATTTTTAAGGAGCAATTATTTAAAAAATCAAGTTCTACGCCTATGTATTATTATCGGACAAAATTTTAATATCATTTTTTGTGCCATATAAAACTCTACTAATATACCAAATTTCAGCAAAATCTCATATGCCGTTTTAAATTTATATGGGAAAAACGATTTAAAAATTGTAAATTCAAGGCCCTCTGGAGCCCAAACGAAGCAACTTTGTACTAAGGTAATTTTACTTAAATCGACTTATTTTGGTCTAAGGAATATGTGGTATGTTTTTGTAAAGACCTTTTACAGACACCCTGTATAAAATTTTACAGTCATAAATTCTCACAAACAACAATAATTGGTTTTTTAGGGGTTTTAATATTAGATTTTTTTTTGTTGAATCCAAATTTTGTCATTGTATTGTTTTTTACTAAATGTTTAGGACACTGGTAGCATATCATTCCCAGGGCTGATAAAGCACTTTCTAGAGATGTTGCTGTTTGCGAGCTACACTTTTTACTGATGGTACTGTTAGCAAAATAAAAAGTGGACTGCCAAAATTAAAGTATTAGGCAATACCATGAATATTCCCGAATCTCCTTTTATACTTGTATTATAACAATAAAATATCTTTTAACTGTTTTATTAAAACTATATTTAGATATTAAAAAAAAATTACCCACAAAATTTTACTTACCGAACTTCACCATTCAACAAACCATTTCGAATTTGGTCATACCTAATTTGTATTTTATGTAGATAAAATTAAATAATTTATCTCTTAAAACATGCAAAACAACAATATTTTCTGGGCTTTATTTTAAAATTAACACATTTATTTTATTATCTTTACACAATTATGTAAAATTCCCATAAGAATCCATGTATTTTTAACATCCCTACTAGCAACACCAACGCCCCTGCGGTGAATTGTGAAAGCTTAATTATCAGCGTTCTTTTTTTGGGGACGTATTTCGGGTAAGTCGATTCGCCTCCTTCTCTTTAGCCTTTATAACGTATGTAACAAAAGTTTATGGTCTGACAATTAAGCCTAAATAACTTCGAATCTAGTCGCCATTGGAAACAAAAATTAGATAACATTCAAACTTCAATATGTCATATCATATTTGTCAAAAATTAAAAGAGTTATGTCGTACAAACTGGATATCCGAATATCTGTGTACAATTTAGTTGGACGGTTGCCAAAACGTGAAAGTGTAAAAATATATTTAGAGGTCAAGATGTAGCAATTTTGACCATTTATAAAACTATAGCAGAATGCTAACAAGGTATACCATGTGTAAACCTTCCAAAAAGCGGTTGGTCTAAAGCTTTGACTATTGCCCAGTCAAATAGGTTGGTGGAAGCTGCAAAAGACCAATGGGAAAATCGACTCTGAAATTAGGTCGAAATTAGGTCACATGACCATTAGTCGAAAACTAAGTAGAAAGAGGCTTAAGTATCGAAAACGAAAGAAATGCCCTAAATACACAAGAACAGCTGCGCAGAAACCCAATATGGGTATTATACGCCGACACTCAAACGGCGGATATAACTATTGAAATGTTATAGTTTCTAGACACTTTGAAACACACTATACATAACAATTTTGGGTCCGCTAACACTTATTTAAAAAAAAATTTTACCTTAAAATCCAAAATCCTTAAAATTTGTTGTCGGGTCTCCATCATAAAACAAATGTAAAATAAACCATTTTCACTGATTTCTTGTTGTAGAAACGGCTAAATATCAATATAAGACCATTCATAGAGCAATAAACCGTACCAAATTTTTTCATAAACGATCAAATTTTCTTATTTTTCATTTTTAGTTTGTTAGAAAAATAAATATACACTAAATTATTTTTAATGACAACTGATGTGTCTAGTTTCTATAAATGCGGTGTTGCCAAATCGAGTAAGAAAACATATAAGTCAGGAAATAATTCGGTTAGTGAAAGTTGGCTGAAAAATTACATAGTGTCTGGCCAGCAGGTAAATTTGGATCTCGAAGTGAAAACATTTGTAGTAATCACAAACAACTGTCTTTTTATTTCATTTCAAGATGATTGTACGTTAATTACGGCATATCGGTACTTATCTAATATTAAAAAAAAAAAAATTCAATTTGAGCTGTGTCCAGGCCGTTGGAGTTTATGCCGGTCGGCGTAGCCAGGTATGGTTTAAAAATTTTCTGGTGGCCGCGAAGCCGCCACCTTACAAGAAGTCGTTGCTTCCTTTTCTTATTGTTTATTTTCATATTATTAGATGCCCACGATACAAGACACGTTCGTTAAAAGTTGGGATCGATGTTTACTGGCCAGACGCTAATGAGGGTTGGTTAGGTTAGGTAAGGTTAGGTTTTTTCAATTTGAGCTGTGTCCAGGCCGTTGGAGTCTATGCCGGTCTCGGCGTAGCCAGGTATGAGTTAAAATTTTTTGGTAGCACCACCCTACAAGAAGTCATTGCTTCATCTTCTTATTGTATATTGTTAGTTTAGGTTAGGTCGTCGAAGAGTACTCTGCCGATGAGGGTGAGGAAGAAGATCTCAATATGGGTATTTTTTAAATCGTTAGTTTTATATAATTTTTCTGATACTGAAGTCAATTGGTTGGCCTGGTACAACGCAGGGCGTAGGTAAAAATTACCATTGCTATGTAATAGATAATTGATATGGCAACTTTGTATTTCTTTTAGACATATGTCACACTGCAAATCTTAATTGCCATAGTCTTTACGAAAATTTAAAAGTTCCGAAGGACCTAAACATGAGCTTAAATTAAAAAAATAAACTGTTTACGAAAAAATTTGGATGGTTTATTGCATTATGGATGGTCTAGTGTTATTATTTAGCAGTTTCTATAACAAGAAATTAATCAAAATGATGTAGTTTACATTTTTTCAACATCGAAATTGGAGGACACATTTTAATAGTTTTAAGGTAAGAAAAAAATATTTTATAGCATTTCCATGGCAAAAAAAGTATTTTGAAATGTGTTTCAGAAGGTCTAAAATCGTTTAAAAAAAAAAAATAAAAAAAAATAGCCCGTTCGACTGTTGGCGGATTTTCCCCCAATATGTTGCCGTGCATTAAGAAGACACTACTTCACAGCCAACAAAGTTGTGATCATGGATGACGAAAAATATTTCACATTGTCGCATTCGGAAATTAAAGGTAATGACGGATTTTATATAGATGATATTGAAAATTGCCCCAATAAATATAAATCAAAAAAGAAATTTGAGGACAAGATTTTAGTCTGGTGTGCCATATCAGCAATGGGCATTTCAAGGCCTTATGTTGGACGCGTGAGAGGTGAGGTAATGGATTAAAATATTTATACTGAGCGATGCCTTCCGAAATTGGTTGATTTTATTAACACACATCACTCTAACGATGACATTATATTTTGGCCCGATCTAGCATCTTGTCACTACTCTAGAACAACAAGAAATTGGTCAGAGACCCACAACATCCCATTGGTGCCCAAAAAACGACAAACCTTCAAATGTTCCCCAGGCTCGTCCAATTGAAGATTTTTGGGCAATATTAAGTAGAAAGGTTTACGATAATGGTTGGGAAGCCGAAAATGAACAACAGTTACGACGGCAAATGTTTCAAAAAATTCGCGATATAGACAATTTTACCATCCAGAATATGATGCGGCAAGTTAATCGGAAATTGCGTACCATTGAAGACCATGGGCTTTTAAGTTTAATTTAAATTGTATTTATTGTTAAGTAGCTATTAAAGAAAATGCTATTAAAAATATTATTTGAATACATTTTACCATTTTCTTTAAATCGTTCATTAATATTTTTTCCGAAAACTTTTGTTACATACGTACTTACGTAAATTTATCTTGTATAATTCACTATTTAGTAGTTTTTGCACTTCTCACTCTTGTTTACATTTATATTGTTAATTTTTTGAAGTTAATCATCAATCCAAATTGAATGACAACTATGGATCCAAAGAAATAAAAGTGGTTTGTTCACAAAATCATACGATTTTCTAATTTAGAAAAAAAAATATCCATAAAATGTGTTATCCTGGATTTAAAATTTAATCTTCTTTTATGAATTTCGACTAATACAAAAAAGCTTGCAATATAATAATTTCCAACATCTATATATTTAATATCATTTACCACTTGAAAATACAAACAAAACATCTTATGCAGATTTACTATAATCTACTGAAAATAACTCTTTTTCACGTTCATTACAATCACATTTTTTTCCATTATCTTGGCCCTCATTATCATTAAGATTAAAGACTTGGATATAAATGCGGTAAATAAATAACATTTTCAGAATTTTTCCTGAGAAATACTTAATTGGAGTAAACATATTAGATTTTAAACATATGCGCACTGTTTAGTAATTTTTGTAAAGAAAAATTACTAAAAATATTAGAAATAACAGGAAATAACAGTAATAACAATGAACTTACTCTGTTGATCACTTCATTTTTCGTTCCGATAGTTTGTGATTATTTTGTCATAATTTATGAACTTAATAAATTAAGTATTATTGTTGAAAATTAGATTATAGTTGTATTTTTTTTTAATCCCCATTAAAAAATTAGACAATTTCCGATTTAACCCGAAGTCACCAAAAAATGTCTCTAGTCGACTAAATCCGAAGCCAGCATTACCCGAAAAATATAAAGAAATTATTTTAAATAAAATTATCCTTCATGTTATTAATTATCTTATAACTGAAGTACAAAAGACCTTAACCTTACCTGTAGTTAAAATAACATTATATTTTTCATTAGACCATTGAACGAGGGTATTTGTTATTTCATCTAAGTGATCTGGAACAATTTTTGGAGTGCATAATGAACACGGGAAATGTTTAAGGACCTCTTCTATTAATTTTGGTCCTGATTGGTCCTTCAAAGGTTCTAAATGGCAGCTATCACTAACTGTAAATAAAAAAAGAATTAATTAGTTTTTTTAAGGATTATCATATACGAAGGAAATATTTCACAAGGTTGAACTTCCTAGAGGGAGATATTGTTACGCAGCACCCTGTAGCGTGCTGCGGTCGTCATATGTAAAGGTACGAGTAAATGGAGAAGATAGAATATTCCCGAAATGTCTCGAAATGTCATTCCTTGTCAAAGAAAAATCCAGATTGTTCGAAAAGGTTCTAGAAGGTCGAGGCAAGCTATATAAGGCGACGACCTGACGTCAGAGTTCAGTTTTATGATAGACGTTAAACTTTAATATTATCAGTTGGAGTAATTGTATTAGTTGAATTGAGTTATTGTAAAAGTTGAGTTAAAATAAATTGTGATACCAAAAACCAGCGTAACAATATGAAATCCAAATCCTAGATAATCTATGTTCAAAAGAACAATTGTATCAATTATTGATGTTTAAAGCATCACCAATTACGAAGTTCTGGTGTAACATATAGAACAGGACAGCTGTATGCCACTCGGTCTAACCAGTGACAGGATAATGATAATTATAATAATAAATATAAAAATAATACTAATAATAATTAATATTAATAGAACAGACTAAAAGAACGACTCCTGTCTACCAGGTGAATTTTCATAGGCTGGAAAATAAGCCAGACGGAGTCCTTCTACAGAAAAAGTATGATAATACAATAGTCTAAATCAGGGATTCTCAAACTATTTTGGGCAAGAGACCTCTTCTTCAAAATTAACATATATCTCAGACCCCCATAGTCAAATTACTTTAAAAACCCTATCTCTAGTTTTTTTCATATTGACACAAAATACTTACCAATTTAAAAACTTTGCGGTTGGCTAAGTGAGTAAACTTTTCTCATCAAAATTTAACAAAATAAATAGACAAAATTCAGTAAATGTAATTAATAATTATTAATACAAATTACGTAAAAATACTTAAGTAATTATTAAAAAAAAAAACATTAAATCGCAGACTGGTGCAATCTAGGACTTTTTACTACTAAATGCTGTCTGTGAATCACACAGTGAATGACCAGTACCATAGGCGGTTGTTACTTTAGGTGAGCTATAAAACCACGATGACGACCAACCATAGATGGTGCACCATCAGTCACAACAGAAACAACGTTCTACCATGGAATAGCTTTGTCGGTAAAAAAAAAAACGTTCCATGGCCTGAAAAATCGATTCTCCTCTGGCATCAGTCTTTAAATGTAAAAGCAGTTCTTGGCATATATTTTCATCTTTAATATACCGAACATATCCTAATAACAGAGCCTCATTGACGGGTAATGTAGACTCATTGGAGAGAGAATCTATTGGTCTGTAAAAATTTGGATAAAATATTTTCCACGTCTCGACCCATTTCGTCTCTGAACGGTGTGATTGCTCAAAGGAATTCTCTTTATATCATGTGCGGCCTTATGCAATGGGTGGTAAAATATGGTGTTCTCTAATTGTGTGGGGTTTTACTGACTTCGCTATTAGTAAAGATATATGGGTGATTCTCGCCTAACTGTGATTTTTACAACTTACATTTTTCTAAAATTATAAATGTTTCAAAACGTATGTTTTACGCGTTTTTGTTTTCTATTTATGCTACTACAGCTATGACACAACGAAAACTGTGACAAAATTTAAAAATTTTAATGCCACGGTACTGACATTATTTCCACGGTACTGACATATAAATGATTATTTTTTTTTACCAATCCAAAGATTGGTATAAAATTGCAATAAAATTCAATGCAGTATGCATTAGATTGTAAAAATGAATTTTGATAGAAATTTATATATTTCATTTTAAAAATGAGAATCGGACATACCACGGTACTGAGTATATTTATATGCAGCTTAAAAAAAAAATTACGAAGGTTTATGATCTAATTCATAATTTCGGTTGTAAAATACCTCTAAATTTATAATATTATTAACTTTTTGATGAGGACAACTTATGCTAAACGATAAATAAAACACTAGACATAAAAAATCACAGTTAGGCGAGAATCACCCATATAGAACGCTTGTAAACCATCAACGTCTTGCATAGATGATGACGCTAACATCGATCTTATGGATAGCTTTTTTTCTAGTTTTTCTTTAAGTGCTTGAAAGAATGACAAGGGGTTACTTTTTATAAGCATGTACTCTTCATAAGTGGTCCTTCATTTTTGAAGGCTTTATCTCATCGTTACTGAATACATTTTCACATAATATAAGACACATCGACAAGTGTTGATTTGATACACATTTAATAAATTCAAACTTCAAGTAGTCCAAACTGTATTTTCTGCATTTTTTTATCGTGTCTGCCATCATAAAACTCGCAGTAAACCTGCAAATAAAAAAAATATGTTTAAAAAAGCAATAATAAAACTGTTAAATTTACAACGAGCTTATTTTTATCGCACCTAGACACTGGATATTTTTTAGGTATGCCCACGAACTTATTCATTTATAACCTTGGATATAGTCATTGTAGTATAAAAATTTGTATTTGTATTGTAGGTATCAAACAGCGTAAAAAACGAAAACAAAGAACACTGAACATTTATAATTTTAAGTAACAACTTTTCTAAAGTAATTAAAAAAAAATACTTAGAAAAATAATAAAACCTGTTTTGGTACTTACCATGTTACTATTTCATAAATTGCGGATATGTATGGTTACGCTATAACGCGCGTACGTAACTAAGCACTTTGTAAATTATTTTTCAATCACTTTATTTTAATTCACTTTATTTAACTATGTAATCACTCTGTAATGTCCTGAAATAAATTAGTAGATGAGTGTATTATCATTCATGCTTCAACGAATTACAAAACGCAAATAAACTTTCAACCTAAGTGCAAGCTTGTTATATAGTAAAATATCAGAAGGATGTTTGGACTTGATTTCGTTCATGTTAAATCGTGTATATGCGTCAAATACAGAGCAAGTCAAAACGTGCCTAAATCTTATTATCTTGCACGAACTTGTCCACGCTTATTGTTAAGGTTGAAATCTGATCGAAATACTTAAGGATTCCCAGTAGAAAATGTATTTATTAAAGTAAATTACAAAAATTAAATATCAAGAAAATGACAAGTTATTTGATAATCTTGACTGACTTTTTTTCTCAAAACTATCATGGCTCGCTTGAACAGCATCCAAAGTAGTGAATATTTAGTAGACTTTCTCCAACACTTATTGACTTGCTAAATTTTTCATCTTGTACGAACTTGTGCCCGCTCATCGACTTGTTGAGTTTTTTAAAAGTACAACAATGATACTTCCTACTAAAATATTAGTCATTCTTATTACAGTATATGGAAATTTTTAAATAAGAATTTGTATTTATAAATAGGGGTCGATTTTTAGACCCCCAAAATCAGTATTCGTTTATGTCGACCCCTGGGAAACCAATTTCGACCCCATGGGGTCGGTATCGACCACTTTGGGAATCCCTGGTCTAAATTATTTTTGAATGTAAAAGTATGAAATCCGATTAAAATACTGAATGTGAGCCAACCAAGACTGCTCTGTTCATAATAAATTACCACCCGTTACATAAGTAACAAGCGATCATCGATGTCTGCATCTATGAAAGCGGAACAAAGCCCTCCTGGACTGGACCAAATTTTTACAGAACCACCCCTAAGGTACCCCCTTTTTAACAAAAAAAGAATAATAAAAATCGGACAACGCGGTAAAGAAGTATCGCTGAACATACATAAAAAAAATATTCCGACGAATTGAGAAACTCCTACTTTTTGAAGTCGGTTAAAAAAGAAGTACAAAAGATGTTTATGTATATACTAATGCAAGTATTGGTATGTAAATGAAACTTCAGTTGTATATATATACGAGGAATGTTATTAAATATGATGTTCCAATTTAAATATCTATGGGATATGTTTGTACCGTTTTAAAAATATATCAAGAAAAATCTCTTACAAAAAAGACTGGTAATGTATCATGTAAATTAACAAATACATCATAGAGCGTTGGAATACGGCTGTTATAAAACGCATTAGAAAGAAAATTCTGTTTAGAATTAAACGAAGCCACGATTGAACTTCTACCCTTTTCAGTTCCATAAAGACTGCCTGGCTTTTCTTCATAATAAAGGCCCTCTTATCTCTAAGATAGTCATTTAGCATAATCTGGACACATGATCTTATTGCTGTGACTTTATCTTAGAAGCACCAGTGATCCCAGTTTTATACTAATGGTTCTCCATGAGTTCGCATGGTGAATTCTAGCTCCTGTGCTGTTTTGCATCTTCAAACCATCTATATACCAGATTGATTGGTTTTGTATTTCCCTATTTTCCCGGCGTCTGGCACTCTCTGGTAGTTGAATATTAAAAGGTTTCATAAAGTCATGAATAATAAGTATTCTATTATGTTTGACTATTTTGTTTCCATTTTTCTAATATCATTGTATTATACATTTTTCTTGAAAGTCCCTATCCAACTCCATTTGTGAACAGCCTGTATGCCGCCACTTCGAGGTGTAATTCCGGAAGATCTATGTTAATATGTTAGTATTAGACAGGTCAGTCTTTAAATCTTATCAAATTTTCTGCTGGCTATTATGCTCTTAGCGTTGTGCCATCATATAACATGAATAAGCTTCAATTAGTACTACAACTTTAGTGTGAAACTATTGCATCATACTTAATTTCCAGTACTATCAAACTGAAATATTGTCAATCTCAAATAATATTAAAAATGACGCTATATTTCTATTATAATATCAGTAGAATGAATATTATTTCATGCATTTTTACACGGTAGGACATGCTTAAAACAAATGAATTATATATCTATCTGTCATCTTTGTTAAAGATTATATAAAAAGTGGTTTAAATAGTGGATCTCGGGTTTAATAAATCATTTAAGGAGGTCCTTTCGCCACCAATGTTAAATAAAAAATATTAGATTATGACTAAAATTAATTTTTTTTTCTAATAGTAGATGTCCTTATTTATCTAATAGTGAACTTTTAACTATACCTTACCGTGCAAATTTTTGAGAATTTTTTTTTAAAAATGTGTGTGTTTGTACAGTGTCTTATGAGAAAGTAAGACTTCAACAACAATTTTCGAATTATAGTTAATTTTACTATTATTTATTGATTAGATGGAGCAGAAAAAAACTAAAAATAAGGTTTTTGAAATATTTAGGTTTTGTTTTTTACAATAAAATATATAGGTTACCGTGGAATTTATTGAGAAATTATTATTAAAAAATCACAAAAAATTTTCAACTAGGTTACTTGAAAATTTTTTGTGATTTTTTGATATTAATTTCTCAATAAGTTCCACGGTTTACTATATATATTTTATTGTATAAGAGAGTTGATAGTCGTTGCTGACTAGTTAATAATTAAACCAGTAATTAGTGGGTAATGCAGCAAATGAAAGAGTACTTTTTTAAGTTTATTCCAAGCTTTCGGAAATGTTTATTTCCATCATCAGGGAGACTAAAATAAAATAATACCACATATTATGATAAAGTAAGGTAAAAAAATTTTTTGTCATCACTTACATCTTAATTAAGGTTGTTCATTTTGGTGGTATTATTCAGTTTAGTAAAAATACAAAGTAAAATGGACAAGCTGAAGTCAATTACAAAATAATATTATACTACCATAAAAGACTTTTCTTGGAGATGGCTTTCATTTCACAGGAACCAAATTCTATGAACAAAAAGACAGATATTAACAATTTAAGTGTAATTTATTCTTATTTATTGGATTTGGACAATAAACCAAACCAAATTCATAATTTAAATAATACAGAGCTAATTTAATATAAAAATCACTCTTTGATCATTTAAAAAATATTAATTATATGTAAAAATAGCATTATCGACATTTATTTCCTAACCTCTAATAACTTGTTATTTATTTAAAATTTTACTTGTCATGTCAAATTGTCAAATTGACCTTTCGTTATTTATATTTTTTATTTTTTAAAGTATCGTAGTTATTGTTTGTGTATAATATTATTTTGTAATTGACTTCAGCTTGTCCATTTTACTTTGTATTTTTACTAAACTGAATAATACCACCAAAATGAACAACCTTAATTAAGATGTAAGTGATGACAAAAAAAATTTTTTACCTTACTTTATCATAATATTTGGTATTATTTTATTTTAGTCTCCCTGATGATGGAAATAAACATTTCCGAAAGCTTGGAATAAACTTAAAAAAGTACTCTTTCATTTGCTGCATTACCCACTAATTACTGGTTTAAATATATTTTATTATATAATACAAAATATAAATATTTCAAAAACCTTATTTTTAGTTTTTTTCTACTCCATCTAATCAATAAATAATAGTATAATTCGAGAATTGTTGTTGAGGACTTACTTTCTCGTGAGGCACTGTACAAATACTCACATTAAAAAAAAATTCTCAAAAATTTGCAAGGTAAGGTATGGTTAAAAGTTCAGTATTAGATAAATAAGGACTTCAACTATTAGCAAAAAATTAATTTTAGTCATAATCTAATAACTTTTTTTTAACATTTGAGGCGAGAGGTGTGGCGAAAGGACCTCCTTAATTTTAATTTATTTGCAATCGCACCAAAATTGCTGAAACAGCGTCTACTAGATATTTGGAATTGGATCCAGAAAGACATTAACCACATAAAACTAGTTATAGAAAAATAGAATTTAATTAACTTTGGTGCTTTCGAATAACCCCAAGTTAATTATAATTAAAATAATAAAAATGGAGATGGAATTATGTTAGAAGCATTAAGTGAAAACCCATCCACCTCTGTAAGATGTATAGGAGCAGAATACCATATATCTAAAACAATGGTACATAGGATTATTCAAAAAAACAAGTACCATCCTTACAAGCCTACTATTATTATGCAAGAACATTATGAGAGACTATCGTGGGAGAATGCAATTTTGTGAATAGTACATTCAAAAATACATTGATGGACAAGATTTTCCTATGCTGACTATATGGACAGATAAGACCTGGGTAACAAACTGCGGAATATTTAACAGACATAGTCGACACTATTAGAGTACAGAAAATCCTCACTTAATATAGCAGCGAAGAATAGAAAGAAAAATTGATTTTAACATATGGTTGCCATATAATGGATCAGTTAAGAAAACTTGATAAAAACAAATCGGTAAAGTTATATTTACCCTGAACTGAAAATGTGATTTTTTCGCGAATATAATAATAAGAAAACCACCTTATTTTTAGGTGGCCATTTAATTGGTTCGTTTATTTATAAAATAATTTTTAAAAATGGGAAACAAATAAGTTAAAAACTATTTTAATCATTTTGAAAATGGATTCGAAATCAAATTCTCTAAAACATTTACAATTTAACCGATCTTCCATCTTCAATATTAAGCGAGATAGCAATATAGAGACTCGAATTTGGGCTACAATGTAAATAATAAATTTATTATAAAGATAGCACCATAAATCACAAGGAGTTATGTCTGTTGACCTCGGCGGCCAAACAAGAGAGAAATAAAGATTATAGTTGCGGAATTTAAAAATTCAAACCGGGCCTGTTTTTAGTCAGGAGGTGTGGGAATGTTTAGACATTACTTTCCCGAATCCTTGTTTCTATCTTCTATTTCTTAATTATTTTTTAGTTTTTTGAAAAAGTTATTGAAAAAAGGTATTTGAAAAAGTTATTTGAAAGTCATTTGAAAAAGTTAGTTATCTATTTGAAAAGTTTATTTTTAATGACTTCTAGGTATATATTAAGCTATTGCATAGCTTTTATCGCGGGCTTTGAGCGCGGTGACCGAATCAAGAAATTCCGTAACGACCGTAACGAAAAGAAACCTAACACCCCCACTCCGACCGGCACAGCGGTGCGGCGTTGAATGCCGTGGAAGGTTCAATCCGAATCCGACCCTATTCGTATTAGTATGAAGCAGAGTTAAATATACGTCTGCGGACTAGAACGTTTATGCAATACAAGAACTAGAAGAGCTTTCTCTGGCTTCTAATAAATTGGTATCACCAATGTTCCCGGCTGACGTAAATATTAGTTATCCTTGAGAAAATAGGATTGGAAGGGTCGCTATAGGCATTGAGACATTTCCTTAGTGCAGTGGCGACAGAAGGAGGCACAATAGATCTTTTAGGTCGCAGTGTATTAACACCCCATTATCAACATAACATAAATATTAGTTATTAATTTTTAAGCTATTGCATAGCTTTTATCGCGGGCTTTGAGCGCAGAGACCGAATTAAGAAATTTCGTAACACCGTAACGAAAAAAAATCTAACATCCCCCACTCCGACCGGCAGAGCGGTGCGGCGTTAAACAATATTAACTTCTCAATTATTCAATAAAATAATATCGAAAAATCGAAAAATCGAAAAATCGAAAAATCGAAAAATCGAAAAATCGAAAAATCGAAAAATCGAAAAATCGAAAAATCGAAAAATCGAAAAATCGAAAAATCGAAAAATCGAAAAATCGAAAAATCGAAAAATCGAAAAATCGAAAAATCGAAAAATCGAAAAATCGAAAAATCGAAAAATCGAAAAATCGAAAAATCGAAAAATCGAAAAATCGAAAAATCGAAAAATCGAAAAATCGAAAAATCGAAAAATCGAAAAATCGAAAAATCGAAAAATCGAAAAATCGAAAAATCGAAAAATCGAAAAATCGAAAAATCGAAAAATCGAAAAATCGAAAAATCGAAAAATCGAAAAATCGAAAAATCGAAAAATCGAAAAATCGAAAAATCGAAAAATCGAAAAATCGAAAAATCGAAAAATCGAAAAATCGAAAAATCGAAAAATCGAAAAATCGAAAAATCGAAAAATCGAAAAATCGAAAAATCGAAAAATCGAAAAATCGAAAAATCGAAAAATCGAAAAATCGAAAAATCAAAAAATCGAAAAATAGAAAAATCGAAAAATCGAAAAGGAAATTCCGTAACGAAAATAAACCTAACACCCCCCACTCTGACTGGCACAGCGGTGCTGCGTTGAAAGCCGTGCATCGTCACGTCGTTTTAGTTCGGCAGACTTCGGCACGGTGTTTATGTGCGTGCGACTAGACGTATGCGTGTAGACTAGCTGCTAACTGCTCATAACTGATTATATCTCTTTTAGACACAATTTCGGAAAAATTTAATTTGAATATGAATAATGATCCACAAGAATCCACAACAAAATATGGGACCACCATTGACGCGGTATTTTCCAGATACTTAGAGGATATCAAGTCTCAAACTTATGTTTCTTATTTCAGTTACCATAAACCTATAGTTTGAATGATAAAAATTCCTGAATAACCTACATGTATTTTAAAATAATAAAAATATTTTAAACAATATTAAATTCAATAAAAGAAAAAAATTTGTTTTCTTATCGGTCACCGCGCTCAAAAAGTGTAACTTGAATTAATATCAAAGAAAAAAAAATTCTGCATAAATAAAATAAATAATTATAATTGCATAAGTTGATAAAAAATGCTATTCAATAGCTTTTCCTCGGCAGTCCCCGAGTGCAACACGTATTTTTTCTTAAAAAAGAAGATATATCAACTATAGAAACACCCTGTAAAAACACCATTCTTATAATTAATTTACCTTAAAGTTAGAATCTCAATTTAGAATAAAAGTTTTAAAATATTCTACAAAGACTATATAAAATAACTTACCTGTAAGTATTCCAAACTTTAATTGAGTGGACATAATTCTGAAACAAAATATAAAAATATTAATCTCAATAAATTTTTTGCTAATATTTATTTATTTATTTGTATCCAAACAAAATATATTTTACATTGGCCATCAAAGTATTATACAAACTGCAACTGCAGTATCTAATAACCAGGGGCGGTTTCTCCATTGGTTCACTTGTGCAGTGACCACCACTGTTACATTTCATAAAAACAAATTATTTTAAAATAAATAACATAATAGTTATTTATGCACCAAGTGCAAAAAGTAAGTGTTTATTGCACGCGACGTGAAATTGTTGGACAACACGTCGAGTGCAATAAACACTTTTTGCACGAGTTGCATACAATATTTTTTGTACGTTCATGCAAAAACCAAAAAATGTTTTATTTAGGCGACACTAAGTGCAGAAGAATAAAAAGCGTAATTTAATAGCAAAATATTTAATAACTAATAATTGGCATCGATTTACATTGAAAAAGTACTATAACTAAGTTAAGAAAATACATTTTTTATTAATTTATTTATTAAATAATTGAAAATAATATAAAATATGCAATTGTTTTTAAAACGTAATACAATCTCACAGAAAATGAAAATGGACTAAATATTTCGCGTCGATTTAAATATTTATGTTTGTCATGATCATAAAACGCTGTTGTAAAATTACAGATGAGTACAATAAAATTTTTATTGCACTAGTGCAGTTTAGGGGTTGAAAACGGTTTTTTCCGTTTTGCGGCGAAACGTAAGCTTCTAGCGAAAAGTGTTCAATAAAAAGATGTAGATAATGAAAAAATCTAAAACTTTGGTACATAATATTTCAACATAACCTTAAATTTTCCCGGAAAATGACAAAAAACCGATTGTTCAGTTTTTAATTTTTTTACAGCGTAAAAATAATTTAATTTACATTAACATTGGTGAAAGTAAAACTTTTTTAGTGTTAAATAAGTATGAATTTTTTAAATTTTAAAACACAAGTAGTTTCCGAGATATTCACATTTTTCGAAAAAAATACTCTAAATTTCCACGGAAAACTTTATTGGTGTTTTTTTTAATTTCAAGATTTTATAAGGGCTCATTTTAACCGTTGAAATGTCTACTTTTAGATGCTTTATACATGTTGATAGTTTATTTTTGATGGAATCAATAAAAATTGAGAAAAACTGAAAAAAGGTAATTTTTGCATTAGGAAATTCTAAGTATTTTTAATTATTTTTGTAACTCTTTAATTATTTGTATTCTGTTGTTAATAATGGGTTACGTTTTAAATAAAAAACTATAATTTAATTAATGTAATTATAAAAAGTGAGAAAAACATTCTTAAATTTTTTCATGGTAAAGAATGATATTGTATGCTGGAGATAAAATTCGCTGGCTCATATTGCATTTTTATTAACATATACAGGTTGATTCATTGGGAGACGGACATACGTTATCTGTGGATGGAGGCCACTAATGTGATTCTAGATAACCCTTATTAAATGGATCTTTAGCCGTTTATAAGATACAGGGTGTTTTATCAATTTAATTAATTTCTTTCCTTATTCATGACTTGGAAACAACCCTGTAGATATTTATGACGTTTGGTATACTTATCCATATCTTGTTGAATATACTGATGTATAAAAAAGTAGCAAAATCCAGATCCGGCTTAGCTAAAATTTCACAAATTCTTCCACCCTGAAAACAACACCCTGTATAACTAATTTTTTATAATTCGTTTCCATATTTGAAAAGAGCCTAAAAAACTAAATCTAAAAATGTTATTTTTATTATGGGGCAGACGAATTTTAAATTCAAATTCTTATTTCTGAGCATTTTCGGGGTACAACATGGAATAGAACTGGTTTTTATTATTTTAATTACGTTAAAATAAGATTATTTAAACAAACTAAGTGAATTTTTAAAAGATACATATTAAGTTGGGTCTAGCCCTTATTTACACCACTACACAATGTAATTACAGGTCCGTATTTGGAAACAAATATCACAATTGTAACGAACCAAGGTACCACCCTGTATCTTATTTATATTTCGGTTTGATTTATATTTCATTTTTCAGTTTCAAGATGACACTACCGGTACTATTTCTGGAATCTCCTGTCTAGTACTCTGTAGTTCGATTGCTCGGGTTCCTTTTTAGTTGTCTAGATCGCTCGCTAGGTACCGTTTAACGCTTATTCGAGTTTTTACACTATTTTGGAAAAAACTCGTAATTCGCACATTTATCGCGACTGATTTTGATTCTGAATACCTCCAGTTTTCTCAACACTAATCTAAATTTATCGTTCTAACTTCCTTTTTAACCTCCCCCTTTATTTCTATTCACATATTTCCTTGCAAGGGGTACATTTCAGTAAGTAATTTCTTTCCACAAAAAACCAACGTGCATGTTTAAGGACTAGGTTAAGTTGTGTGTTTTCACATCTGTCATTTTCTTCTTTTCTTCTTCTTTTATTTTTCAGTTGCTTCACAACAGTTAACCCAGTCATTTCTTCTTCTTTCTTATTTTATCCTACAACATCACATACACTTGGTGATTGGTTCATGGCCCAAATCTTATATAATAAATAATAAATATTTCTTCACTCATAGTTTACATCTTATTACCTATACCCTGTCATAAGTTTATCCAAGAATTTTTCGTTACTACTTACCACCGCCTGTAGAGGCCTTAACTTGACAGGTCTCCTTTCAAAAATGTTAGATTTTTATAAAAAAACAGCAATGTTGCTTAAAATAGGCCTTATCTTTTAATCTGTTTAATGTATGTGATTTGTTTTTGTATAGTCTTGAATATTTTAAAATTTTTAACTGTTGTTACGCCACTGTCGGGACTCCAAGTTCCCAACGCATCGAAGCGGCGTGAGAGGGCGCAGGTATCGGAGCTAGGCGCGAACTACGGTACCAGCGAAGAGGGCGAGACGGCGGTGTGGCAGTTTGTACCTATTCGAGTTCCACAGTAGGCGTGTGTTACAATTCAATTAATAATTTAAGGCGATTGGCGTTGTTATTATTTTTCGGTTAATAAAAATGATTTATTCGGGTGTGGTGTGTTTTAATAACCCCGTAACATTTCAGAAGTGGTGATAGTGTTCCCCGTGTTGTGCAGAAAATTATTTTCAAAGGCGATATTGGCGTGATTTCCTGTACTCGTACCGGCGTTTGTGAAATTTCACGAATTTATAGGCGAAGGTGAACAATTTGAATTGAAACGGTGTTGTGGCGATTGGAGGCGATTTGAATAATCAATAAAAGAATCTGTAAGTACAATTTTTCATTATATTTTATCGATCGATCAATTTAGGTGCCGCTAACAAGCTTCAGCCTGTAGTTTTAAACCGCTAAGGCGCATGTCTGACGTAACGAGGCGGCCATTTTATCAATTAGGCATTCCAACGACCTGTCCAAATGGCTACCAGTGGGTAATGACAGTTTAGATATGGCAACCCTGTTGTCATGTTGTCATTTACAGGGTCAATGATACATATATAGTTATATAGATTGCTTACAGTTGGTCGTTTGCGAGCGGCCATATTGCCTGGCAAATATTTATTAATTTGAATCGGTTTGGCAAAAATGTATTTTAAAACCAATTTTTAGCCTTTAGATATTTAAAAAATAATAATTGCTTACATTTTTACTTGAAGGCATAAGCTTGTTTATTTTGAAAAATATGGATAATCAATCTATGTAACTATCTATTTCATTGACCTTGTCAAATCACCAGGCCTACAGGGTTGCCATAATTTTGCCATATCATAACCCGTCAAAACCCACTGGTAGCCATTCAGTTTGGAATGCCTAATTCTGAGAATTCTGCATGCCGGCTAGGCATGGGCGTGACGTGAAAAGGGGGTATGAGTAAAAATAAATTAAATTTTTGGATTTGGAGTGATTTATTGGCATTTATTTTATTGGAAATGATATACAATGGTGGAATTTCATTATTAGTGGAGAAAATAATTATTTTAATGGCGGTATAAAAATTATTTTTGCCAATTTTTAATTAATGAGGCCTAGGCGTATTTTAAATGTAAAATCGACGTCGAAAAGGGTGTTTTGGAGTTAATTATAGAAACCAGAGGCGTACTAAATAATTTTAAAAATATTTTATTTTTCAAAATAAGTGTTTTTGGGCGTGAGGTGACGTTTAATGTACATTATTAGTATTTTTGGATGGCGATCACTATTTAATTGATGTTTTATAGGCAATCCTATTGGATTGTTATTCTACGAATCGAGTCGCAGGTGACAATGAGTGGCTAGATCTCGCTGGTGTCCCTCAGGTTAGACTGTTGCCCTTCCGATCTTGTCTGTGTTCTTCAGGTCAAACTGATGCCCTTCAGATCCGTGCTGGTGTCCCTCAGCCAGCCTGTTGCCCTTCCGATTGGGTCCGATTGTCACCTAGCGATTTGATTATCACCAGGATTGGGTTGTAGGTGTCAGCGAGTGACTAGATCGTGGTGGATCGGGTCACGGCTAACACTCAGTATGTATTTTACTAATTTCTTTTGTTCTGTTCACAGGTAAGAATGTCGAAATCTAACGACGAAATGGATCTCGTAATCGACGAGCATGTCGACCTCGGTGACTCCCCAACATCCGACCGTAGGCACAGAAGGCGGTCTACATCCCCAAGGCGAGGCGGTGCCAGATCCGATTCGAGGCGAGGAGAGGACCTGTCCGGCATACCGGTGGAGACCCTGGTGAAGGCCCTATTGGCAGGAGGATTGTCGAAGGCGGTGGAGAGGATAGCCAAACAACAGGCAGCTCTAGTGGTGGGAGAAACGGTAGACCCTGCTACCCCAGGACCTTCTAGTCTGAGAACCGATGAGGTGAGCGGCGCTGGAGGACGAAGATCCATGTGGTTCGTGGCTGACATGGTCGAGCGATTCGACCCCGACGATGCGGATTCCAACATCGAGCGGTGGTTGATGAAGATCGACCAGATGGAAGAAATCCATGGATTGTCCCCCAATGAAAAATCCATATTGGCCCAATCCAAGC